TCATTCAGTTTTAGAAGTACAATAAAAAGATAAAAACTATATTTAGAATTGCAAAAAAAATACTTAAGTTTCTTATATTGTAAAATGCAATTTGTGCACCTTTTAATTTACAACAATTTGGTTAATATAACTAAATAAAATGTGGCCTTTTCTATTGTTGGTATTAAGTTTTTGTAATGAATCTAGTATCTTGTTTATTTCATAATATATTTGCATAATCACATTTAGCATGTATTTACTTCTAGATTTGTAGATGAAAAACCTTATAGATGTAGGTAGTTTGGTTTTATTTTTCCTAAAGATTGTACTGTCACAATTAATCTGGGATATTTGTTTATTTCATGAAGCATTTTTAAAAATACCATCATTTATTTAGCCAATTAAAACAAACAATAAATGTATTTTCTTTGATTCTGCACTTGGGTTCAATATGGGAACAAGGCTCTGAGGTCCAGGTGCCTCCAAAGGCGTTGCTCTGACCTAGATAGAGTGCTACACTCTGGACGGGAAACCGATTTAGGTCACAGAATATTAAAAACAAGCAATATAGCCAGATGTGGCACAAGGCTGAAGGATCAACAATTAGATGCAACAATAGAATAAATACAGTAAAAATACGGTAAGCAGTTTTTATAAACTGAAATAAAATATTTTTACATGTTACATGATGTTTATGCAGCAATGCATTCTGGGTAAATTACATTTGCTAGGTCCTGTAGAGTTAGCTCCATTCAGCCAAAACAGCGACGAGTTAAACCTTAAGAAAGCAAGGTGGTTATATTCAGAATCCAAACTTCTGAAAGTTCTTTAAATGTGAAATGATTCCATCCTGTTCAATAAATGATCAGTGTTTTTAATTCAGAGTAATTTTCATGTGAATGTGCTTTACTGGAGGCATCCATGTTTGTCAAAGAACACTACTGCCACCTACTGGTTAGTGACGTCACGGTGCGGTATCGGCTGTTGATCAAGTCCCAGTGCTGTATCTGGTGTTTGTCACAACGCGCTATTATCCAAGTCATCTTGAAAACATTCTTCTTCCAAATGTTGGCTACATATTACGGGTTTTTTCTCTGGCCAGAAGTTCGATGGCAAATCCTCCCTCTTCAAGTTGGCGATCCAACGACCAACCCGTCCGTGGAGGATCAGGAATCAGAAAGGTGGAATAACTCTTTTTTTCACTTTTACCCGATGTATTCCAGCATCCAGCTGCCATGCACGTGGGCATTGTCAGTTTCACTATAGCTCTGGTGAATTTCAATGGTGAAGTCCTCTGGAAATCTTCAATAATTGTTGTTGATTGCAGATGTGTCTAGTAGTTCCCATTGATTTAGCTTGGAAAGCGGGGAGAATGGAGCTAGGCTAACCGCACCGTGACGTCACTGCTGGAAGATGGCAGGAGGGAGGGGCTACTAGATTTGGGCAAAGATGGCCGCTCCCAGACGCAGTGATCACCATGAAAATTATTGTCTTTATTTTTTACTGATTAACGCTAAATTCATTAGGATGGTCCTAGCCTGCTCCTTGGCTGGTCCTTGGCTAGTCCCTGGCTGGCGCTTGGCTGGGCCTTGGCTGGTCCTTGGCTGGCCCTTGGCTGGGCCTTGGCTGGGCCTTGGCTGGTCCTTGGCTGGTCCTTCGTTGGTCCTTGGCTGGGCCTTGGCTGGTCCTTGGCTGGCCCTTGGCTTGTCCTTGGCTGGCCCTTGGCTGGGTCTTGGCTGGTCCTTGGTTGGTCCTTGGTTGGTCCTTGGCTGGGCCTTGGCTGGTCCTTGGCTGGGCCTTGGCTGGTCCTTGGCTGGTCCTTGGCTGGTCCTTCGTTGGTCCTTGGCTGGGCCTTGGCTGGTCCTTGGCTGGTCCTTGGCTGGGCCTTGGCTGGTCCTTGGCTAGTCCCTGGCTGGCGCTTGGCTGGGCCTTGGCTGGTCCTTGGCTGGCCCTTGGCTGGGCCTTGGCTGGGCCTTGGCTGGTCCTTGGCTGGTCCTTCGTTGGTCCTTGGCTGGTCCTTGGCTGGCCCTTGGCTTGTCCTTGGCTGGCCCTTGGCTGGGTCTTGGCTGGTCCTTGGTTGGTCCTTGGCTGGTCCTTGGCTGGCCCTTGGCTGGGTCTTGGCTGGTCCTTGGCTGGTCCTTCGTTGGTCCTTGGCTGGGCCTTGGCTGGTCCTTGGCTGGCCCTTGGCTGGGTCTTGGCTGGTCCTTGGCTGGTCCTTCGTTGGTCCTTGGCTGGGCCTTGGCTGGTCCTTGGCTGGGCCTTGGCTGGGCCTTGGCTGGGTCTTGGCTGGTCCTTGGTTGGTCCTTGGCTGGTTTTTGGCTGGTTCCTGGCTGGTCCCTGGCTGGTCCTTGGCTGGGCCTTGGCTGGGTCTTGGCTGGTCCTTGGCTGGTCCTTGCCTGGGTCTTGGCTGGCCCTTGGCTGGGTCTTGGCTGGTCCTTGGTTGGTCCTTGGCTGGTTTTTGGCTGGTTCCTGGCTGGTCCCTGGCTGGTCCTTGGCTGGGCCTTGGCTGGTCCTTGGCTGGCCCTTGGCTGGGTCTTGGCTGGTCCTTGGCTGGTCCTTGGCTGGTCCTTTGCTTGATTCAATTGGCTTCGGTTCAGATTAGCTTGCCGAATGAATAGAAGGGGTAGAGCGTAGCCGCCTGTGGCCCAGGCTGCCTGTCACAACTCCAGTCCGGATGCATGGATGACGTCATACACACCCCGCTTTGTTTATAAAAGATATAAATATAACAAATCTAAGTGTGGATGTCTGTGGGACAGTGATTGGCCTCCATGTTCTGAATGCTGGCGTACCATAAAGAATAAATGATGAACAGTTTAGTTTGTGCCTTCAAGTCGTTACCCATAGGAAGACGTTACTGGATATAACCTAACGGAATATCTTCAGAACGGCTCCAAATGACACTAAACTCAGATGGGAGAGTAGAACATGATGGAATAACGGAAAATCAAGGACCAATGGAAAAAAAAAACTCCTGGTCAGACGCTGTAATTCAGTCAAAGGCTGGAGGGAGAGTAAAACAATATGCATGTCACTGCAGTGACTGGAAGTTGGAGAAGATTTAGCCGGGAGTTGCAGGGAATTGGGCTTCCATTGGGCTGGGAAGGGCCATTTATATGGCTGCTACCGCACGTTCTGCAGGACACTCAGTCACGTTTCAGGCAATGCTGTTTCAAACAATAAAATATTTTATTTCAAACAATAAAATAATAAAACATTGTTCTCCCTCTGATTGTTTTCCTTTGAACTATTCTCCGATTGTTTCACACTTTGGTTTGACCATTTAATGTTTTCTAATCTGTTTTAAATACACTGGAAAAAAAACAGTCGTCAAGAAGTTAAAATCCTTTTTTTTTTTAAAGAAAATGTTTCTCAGCAAGTGAATTTTGCACCAAATAATTTCACTTAAACATCCTCTCCATTCACTGAAAAAACGATCTAGAAATAAGTAAAAATATCTTAAGTGTATTTCTCCTGAATTTAAGTAGGTAAATGAGATAGTTTGCCAATGGAAGGAGTATTTTTACTCTTAAAATAAGATAATTAGATAATATGCACTTGAAATAAGACAATGCAGTTTTGTTTTCTTATTCTAAGTGTAAATTGTCTTGTTCCATTGGCAGAATGTCTCTTTTACCTCCTCAATCAAAGAACAAATGCACTCATTTAAAGAAAAGATGACTTATCTAGATTTCGATTTTTTTCCAGTGTTTAAGAAATGCATTCAATACACTTAAAGGATTCTTATTAAGCAACTTTTTGTTCACCCCTTTAGCAGAAGTTGTTTCTCAAAACAAGAAAATTAGATCCTATTTAGAACATTTGTCTCATTTAAAGCAGAAAAATGTTTTCCAGACGAGATAAATTGGATTGGACAGAACAAAACAACAGAAAGAAATAAATGACCCAGATTTGTGGTGTTTGTTTCACTGCTTCGCCAGAAAATGACCCTTTGCTGTCGTCACATGGCAACAGATCCCACCTCGGCTGATAAAAGGTGCTCACTAAAAGACAGAAAGAGACCCAGTTTTGACATAACATATCTGATAAGAATTTACAGCTTTTGAACCGTAATGTCCAACAGTCGTAGGGCGCGGTGCAGCGAACACCTGCATGACAAGCTAAGATACACGTTTATTTTTAAGAAAAAAAAGAACAAAACAAACCTTAATCTACTGGTGATCTGAATAAATCTGCAACTTTACTGTATAAATAATAACAAATGTCTGTTTATTAGCACTGATTCATTAATCTCTTACTGAGCTTTTTCTGAAGAAAACAAAGATAATTGACATTAAAAAAAAAGAAACTGCAAAAACCACAAATAATAAACATTTCTTAGACTGAATGTATTTGGCCTCAATTTAAGCAATAAGAATAAAGTATTTTCTGCTGAATTTAAGATCTTTAGGTGTTGCGCACTTGATATAATTTAAAATCTGAAATATTTTCTCGCTTACCTTCTAAAATCAAGGCAGAAAGCAATTATTTTATTAAAAAGAAATAGAAAAAAACAAAATATTAAATCTGTGTTTTTAATGTTCATCTCTTATAGTCAGAATATTTTTTATCATCATTGAAGTATTAATCCTTTAAGTACTTTTTCTAATACATTAGTTGTTCCCGGGGCGCCGCACAATGGCCGCCCACTGCCGCCCCCTTGGGGAGCCCACTGCTCCCCAAGGGGGCGGCTTAAATGCAGAAGGTGAATTTCTCCAATTTGTTCTCTATTTTTCAGATATGAAAGGTTTAGTTTAGTTTGGGTTTAAACTTTCTGACGCTTAGTGAAGTGCGGTGTGCAAAGTGATGATGCAAGCGGTCGACCTTGGCTGTGACTTTGAGCCGTGACTGAAGTGAATGAATTACTGCAATTATTGTGAAATGGCGAACGATGGGAGGTAATGACATCGGAAACTAGATGCAATAAACTGGTGACTCGCTCAGTGTCATTTATATTATTGCTCTTATCTCTATAGTAGAACATGTTGCTTTACATAACACCTGGATTATGGGTGGGTTCCTTATTATAGAGGGTTATCTTCTGAAGAACGCCACTTTGTTCAGCAAACGATCTGGGATGTGCTGCGCGTTCGTGTTGCAGCCAGAAGGACTTTATTTATAAGATATTCTTTTTTTCCCTCTCGTTCGGCTTTGATAGTGAACATTCAGATGATGGCCTTTTCTCTACGTCTGATGATTTTCCCTTTTTTGATCATTGGCTTGTGTTTGGTCAGCGGTAAGATTCACATCTGTTTCCCATTAAGATGCTTAGAAAGGAAATTAATGTTATATTTTATGATGTTTTAGTCAATTAATTCATTTGTAAATACATTTATATCAACTTTTTCTTTCTATATTTATAAAATTTTAATATTTAATTATCACGATGATGTAACAGTCTATAAAGACATGTGTAGAATCTTATCGTGGGTCTGTTGTAAAACATATGATACAAACTTAGGTTTTATTTACCCATCTTAGGTCGTATTTTTAACTGGTTAAAATAACTAAATCATTATTTAACATTGATTCCCAAAGCCGGAGTCAAGGACAGGGTCTTTATAGAAATTTAAACCAAACTAAGGTCATCGTCATCATCAGTGGAGAGCTTTAAAACAGCTAAAACAAAGTGCTGAGCACAGCTAAAAATAATAAAATATAAAATAAGGCAATGATAAAAAATTGTTTAAGCTAAATGTTAAAAACCAGTGAATAAAAGAACATTTTATTTAGAAATTGGGCAGTGAAGAAGCCGATAAAACGGGGATAATGAAGCATTTTGAAGATGTCAAAAAAATCACCTTGAAGTAGGAAAACCAAATACGTTGTTTATTGATTATATTTTTATTATGCTAAAGGTGAATATGTTCTATTTAAAAAAGGTTTGTAATCAAACCAATAATTTATGGGTCAGAATTTGAAATGTTTGGAAATCTCTGATATAAATAATACATTTTAAATATTTCAAATTCATATTTTAATAGGGTGAAAATCTAAACAATTATGTGTCAGTATAATTCTGATGATTGAAAATAGAAGTTTTATTTGCGCCCGCAAGATGTCAGCAACTGGCTGGTTAGCAATCAATTAATCAATCAATAAATTAATCAATCAATCCTTTCGTACCCTAAACCCCTTTTTCAGCTGCATTGTTTATTTCACTATCTGTTATTTCATTAAAAATCACTGATAAAAATAAATGTTGAACCACTTTCAATGGGGAACATCTTATTCATACACATGACAGGGCATTTAGTGAGAAACACAGTCTAAGCTTTTCCCACTCACAAATAAAAAACATCCTTTATCCATCCATCCATCCATCCATCCATCCATCCATCCATCCATCCATCCATCCATCCATCCATCCATCCATCCATCCATCCATCCATCCATCCATCATCTTCCTCTTATCCGGGGTCGGGTCGCGGGGGCAGCAGCTTCAGTAGGGAGGCCCAGACGTCCCTCTCTCCAGCCTCTTGGTCCAGCTCCTCCGGGGGAATCTCAAGGCGCTGCCATAGTCCCTCCAGCGTGTCCTCGGTCTCCCCCTGGGTGTCCTCCCGGAGGGACTGGCTCAGTCCAGAACATTATGTCCATTTGTCTTGCTTATCTTAAAGGGTCTTTGGGCTGCTCTTTGTCTGGTCCCTCACCTAGGGCCTGTCTGCCCTGGGTGACCCCCCTCCACCACGATACGATGGCAGCTCTCCCTCGGGTTGCCATCTTATCATGAAAGAGAAAAAGAATAAAATATCCAACAGAAAATGATTTTTATTAATTAATTGATCATTCATTAAACTTCTTAATCTGCCATAAGAATGTTCTGGTATCATAACATTGAAACAGAGCCCTCACAAAGCACAAAATTTAATAAAGATCCTTTTACACTAACTTATCAAAATGTCAAATTAAAAGAAAAATAACAAAAATGAGGAAACTCAATATAAACTGTAGAAGAGAAAGTCACTAGTAACGTTAAATTAGATCAGAGAGGGCATGTAGAGGGCGCTATTTACAAAACCAGATGTCAAAATCAACACCAAGTTTTTTTTTATTATTATTTTTTATTATTTTATTTATCTTATGTGACCTAATCCAACCATGTCTTCTGCTTTTGTAGAAATATGCATACTTGCATATTATAAAATGGTCCAAATGTGCAAAGGTATTGAAAATGTGCAGCAAATACAAAAAGTACTGCAAATGCAAAATGTAGCTAGCTAACAAAAACATTTTTATCAAACATACAACACACATGCAAAGGAAAAATGCTGAAACAGAAACGCTGTGATGCTTGATTATGAAGATCAGCAAAGTACAAATGCACTGCTAAAACACCAATAATGCTAACACACAAAACAACAGAAAAGGCTGCAAGTAGCAAAAGTGACTAAAAGTTAAGACAACATGCAAACTAGCTCAAGATAGCAGAAGCTCTCCCAACCACTAGGGGGAGACGATCATCATATGGAAGCAAGCATTTAGTAAAGACATTCTTGATGCTCAAGTGTTTCAAAAAGATTCAAAGAGAAACTCGCCTTTTCTTTCTTTACTCCAAATGTCCTCTTAGCACAGATCCTGTTTAGATTTTTGCTCAATGTCAGGAACATAGACATTACTTCTTAAAAATATCTATAATCTCAACAAGCAAATGCTAAAAATTCCCAATCCCCTACACTACGAAAATCCCCATCACCAGTCTCCAACTTTTCGTTTGTTCTTACTATGAGAACAAGAAAAGCCATCACTCAACCAATGGAAGGTGGTCGTTAGAGGCTGATAGGGACAATGTTGACAGGTCATTGTTAAAAAGAACAAGCTCAAAGTTCAGTACACAATGATGAAAATGAACTAGATAACGTTCATAGTTGAAGTTTTCAAACCTATAAATGAACAACTTCGAGTTCATTTGGCAAATGAAGCCCCATTCCTCCACAAAAGAACCTCAAAATTACACAAAAATTAGGACAACTATTATTTCATTTCACAGTTATATATCCACAGCAAGTAGATTTAACTACTTCATTAGCAAATGCCACTACAGAGGCATCTACAACGCAAGAAGCTACTTTAACATCAGAGCAAACAACTCCCACTAATTCTGAGACAACTGAACTTGTAACTTCTACTGTATCACCAGGGCAAACTACTAGCTCAACATCTGAAGTTACTGAACCAACCTCAACTAGTCCATCTGATAGTACAACAACGGGGCCTGCTGTAACAACTAATGCAGCTGAAACACCAACAACTCCTGAGTCATCAACAGCTCAGCCGGCTGAAACTACAGTACAATCTCAACAAACAACGCCCACAGAGTCAGAAACAACTACATCTGTTGCTTCTACCGCATCCCAGGAGCCAACGACTCTTGATCCCACAACATCTGAAAGTACTGGGTCTACTTCAGGACCTGAAACAAGTCCATCTGGCACTGTAACAACGGAGCCTGCTGTAACAACTACTGCAGCTGAAACACCAACAACTCCTGAGTCATCAACAGCTCAGTCGACTGACACTACAGTACAATCTCAACAAACAACACCCACAGAGTCTGAAACAACTTCAATTGTTGCTTCTACCTCATCCCAGGAGCCAACGACTCTTGATCCCACAACATCTGAAAGTACTGGGTCTACTTCAGAACCTGAAACAAGTCCATCTGATACTACAACAATGGATCCTGCTGTAACAAGCACTGCAGCTGAAACAACAACAACTCCTGAGTCATCTACAGCCCAGCAAACTGATACTACCCCACAAACAACTCCCTCAGAGTCTGAGACAACTGTATCTGGTGGTTCTACAGTATCACAGGAGCCAACGACTCTTGATCCCACAACATCTGACAGTACTCAGTCAACTGTAGGACCTGAAACAAGTCCATCTGATACTGTAACAACAGAGCCCTCCGTAACAACTACTGCAGCTGAAACACCAACAACCCCTGAGTCATCTACAGCCCAGCAAACTGATACTACACCACAAACTCAACAAACGACTCCCTCAGAGTCTGAGACAACTGTATCTGGTGGTTCTACAGTGTCCCAGGAGCCAACGACTCTTGATCCCACAACATCTGAAAGTACTGGGTCTACTTCAGGACCTGAAACAAGTCTATCTGATACTACAACAATGGAGGCTGTTGTAACAACTACTGCACCTGAAACACCAACAACTCCTGAGTCATCTACAGCCCAGCAAACTGATACTACACCACAAACTCAACAAACGACTCCCTCAGAGTCTGAGACAACTGTATCTGGTGGTTCTACAGTATCCCAGGAGCCAACGACTCTTGATCCCACAACATCTGAAAGTACTGGGTCTACTTCAGGACCTGAAACAAGTCCATCTGATACTACAACAATGGAGCCTGCTGTAACAACTGCTGCAGCTGAAACACCAACAACTCCTGAGTCATCAACAGCTCAGCCGACTGACACTACAGTACAATCTCAACAAACAACACCCACAGAGTCTGAAACAACTTCAATTGTTGCTTCTACCGCATCCCAGGAGCCAACGACTCTTGATCCCACAACATCTGAAAGTACTGGGTCTACTTCAGAACCTGAAACAAGTCCATCTGATACTACAACAATGGATCCTGCTGTAACAAGTACTGCAGCTGAAACACCAACAACACCTGAGTCATCTACAGCCCAGCAAACTGATACTACACCACAAAGTCAACAAACAACTCCCTCAGGGTCTGAGACAACTGTATCTGGTGGTTCTACAGTATCACAGGAGCCAACAACTCTTGATCCTGCAACATCTGACAGTACTCAGTCAACTGTAGGACCTGAAACAAGTCCATCTGATACTGTAACAACAGAGCCCTCTGTAACAACTACTGCAGCTGAAACACCAACAACCCCTGAGTCATCTACAGCCCAGCAAACTGATACTACACCACAAACTCAACAAACGACTCCCTCAGAGTCTGAGACAACTGTATCTGGTGGTTCTACAGTGTCCCAGGAGCCAACGACTCTTGATCCCACAACATCTGAAAGTACTGGGTCTACTTCAGGACCTGAAACAAGTCCATCTGATACTACAACAATGGAGCCTGTTGTAACAACTACTGCACCTGAAACACCAACAACCCCTGAGTCATCTACAGCCCAGCAAACTGATACTACACCACAAACTCAACAAACGACTCCCTCAGAGTCTGAGACAACTGTATCTGGTGGTTCTACAGTATCCCAGGAGCCAACGACTCTTGATCCCACAACATCTGAAAGTACTGGGTCTACTTCAGGACCTGAAACAAGTCCATCTGATACTACAACAATGGAGCCTGCTGTAACAACTGCTGCAGCTGAAACACCAACAACTCCTGAGTCATCAACAGCTCAGCCGACTGACACTACAGTACAATCTCAACAAACAACACCCACAGAGTCTGAAACAACTTCAATTGTTGCTTCTACCGCATCCCAGGAGCCAACGACTCTTGATCCCACAACATCTGAAAGTACTGGGTCTACTTCAGAACCTGAAACAAGTCCATCTGATACTACAACAATGGATCCTGCTGTAACAAGTACTGCAGCTGAAACACCAACAACACCTGAGTCATCTACAGCCCAGCAAACTGATACTACACCACAAAGTCAACAAACAACTCCCTCAGGGTCTGAGACAACTGTATCTGGTGGTTCTACAGTATCACAGGAGCCAACAACTCTTGATCCTGCAACATCTGACAGTACTCAGTCAACTTTAGGACCTGAAACCAGTCCATCTGATACTGCAACAACGGAGGCTGTTGTAACAACTACTGGAGCTGAAACACCAACAGCTCCTGAGTCATCTACAGCCCAGCAAACTGATACTACACCACAGAGTCAACAAACAACTCCCTCAGGGTCTGAGACAACTGTATCTGGTGGTTCTACAGTATCACAGGAGCCAACAACTCTTGATCCTGCAACATCTGACAGTACTCAGTCAACTTTAGGACCTGAAACCAGTCCATCTGATACTGCAACAACAGAGGCTGTTGTAACAACTACTGGAGCTGAAACACCAACAGCTCCTGAGTCATCTACAGCCCAGCAAACTGATACTACATCACAGAGTCAACAAACAACTCCCTCAGGGTCTGAGACAACTGTATCTGGTGGTTCTACAGTATCACAGGAGCCAACAACTCTTGATCCTGCAACATCTGACAGTACTCAGTCAACTTTAGGACCTGAAACCAGTCCATCTGATACTGCAACAACGGAGGCTGTTGTAACAACTACTGGAGCTGAAACACCAACAGCTCCTGAGTCATCTACAGCCCAGCAAACTGATACTACACCACAATCTCAACAAACAACTGCCTCAGGGTCTGAGACAACTGTATCTGTTGGTTCCACTGGTTCAACATCACAACAGACTAACACCACGGTTCCAGAAGTCACACCTACAACAACAAAATCTACGACTACAGAGAAGGTCCCGACTTGTGAAAATGGTGGTACTCCGAATGGGATGATCTGTGTTTGTCGTCCTGGATTTGAAGGGGAAAGGTGTGAAAAGGTTCAAAGTATTTTGCCAGGTATAGTTGATTTACTAATTTTATTCCTCTCACACAAGAATTTTAAATCATTAATTGTTTTTATGTTTTACCTTTTAATTAATTTATTCTATTTTCGCAGATAAGTTTGAGCAGAAGGTGGTTGTTGTGGTGGTGATCATTAAGCCATTTATTCCAGCGTATAAGGACGAAAACTCAACTCAATACAAAGACTTTGTAGAGGACTTTAAAGAAAAGGTAAAGTAGAAACACATCCATGAGTGACAGAACTGTGCTGTTCTTGAATGCTCTGTTGTTTTTCTGGTCTGCAGAGACTGATGGGAGTTAATAACTATTTACTAAACTTTTCCATCTGGTCATTCAAACACATAAAAAATAAATTCAGACCTCAAAGAATTTAATTTTTCTGTTTTATGTCCTTGAATTATTTAGCAATGTGTCGTTGTACAAGGTAATTGGAGAACAAAATACATTATGTGACGTTAACTAATGTGATCTTAAATCATAATTTCAGAAAAATGTCTCGTTTTCTGTTACCTTCCATCTTTCTTTTGCAACCTGTAATAGAACATTAAAACAAAACATTTATTTCCCCCAATTTTTGTTCCTGTAGAACAAACTCACAACATTTAAAAGAAGTTAACTCACTCACTGGGAAAAATCTGAATATTATTACCATTAATTTTTACTAACAGTGTTGTACTTTATATTCCCCATTAATATTTATAAAGGTAGGAGCTTAGATACCGCTCACTGTAAGGATTGGTGGAAGTTCGTTGAGAGCCGAAATGCAGAGATGAGATTTAATGAGATGTAGATGGCAAAAGAAGAAAAAATCCAGGAATAATAAACAGTAACTTAAAATCAGGAGATGCAAGGGAGAAACACACTGGAGGATCAAAGCAATTAAGAGAATCCAGCAATGAGAAACAGCATAGGAGGAGTATATATAGGAGACAGAACAAATCAGCTGATAGGGAGCAGGGGTCTGGTTATTGATGCAGGTTTAACAAATTCAGATTTAAATCCACAACTTTAATTTGATCTAGCCAAAAGTCGGGAACTCTGAGTGTTTGGTTCCACAACGGCTGCTATGAATTAGTTCAATAATTTTTAACTAGGTAAAAAAACAAAACAAAATTATAATAGTTAGAATTATTTTTATATATATCTAGAAATGTTTACACATTTTTAAGTGGCCAAACTAAATGTTTTTTTTCCAAATAGGAGAACATGTTTACAGCAGGATGTTTTCTTTTAACTTTGTCAACACATTATTGTGTTTCCTTTCCAGATGAACAAAACCTACTACGGAAAAGTAAAACATTACAAAGGGATCCTTGTGAAGAAACTAAGGTAAAAAAAAAATCTATTGATGCCAACCATTTTATATGCTTGAAATTTTAGATATATTATTTTTAAATGAGGTACTTAAGTGATATGATGTAAGATAATAAAGTGTGAATAACTTGTGAAATGGCAAACTAATAATGACTTTCTTTCATTTCATTTTCTCAGTCCTGGGAATGCTGGTAAAAAACCAGATCACACAGTGAAAGAGGTAATGCCGTTTAAATACGTTATAACCAGCTGTTAATCCAGAGATTGGATTATATGACCGACTAATATCTTTTGTATCTTTTTTCAGAAAAGATCAGTCAAAGAGGATGCACCGCTGGCAGACGGGTAAATTACTCCAGATCTTATTGTTATAGAGTCTAATAAACAATACACTGCAAAAATAAGCTTCCTCTGCAAGCGGCTGTAAAATGATAATCTAGATGAAAATAAACTTTAATTAATAAGAAATAACAAACCGGATCAATAACAGAATGGATTCCAGGGTTCTGTTTCATGAAGCAGGTTTACTGAAAACTCTACGTTTTTTAACCTGAAAACAGGAAGACTCTGACTTTTCCATTTCTGTTGCCATAGTAACATCCTCCCAGAGCTAACCTGGTCAGCAGCAGGTTTTCTTCCTCTGTCTCCGCTCTCCTTACAGCCAATCACGCTGTTTTATTTCCAGAGATGGCAAAAGTACTCACTTTCCGTACTTGAGTAAAAGTACAGATACTTGTGTTAAAAAATACTCTGGTAAAAGTGGAAGTACTGATTAAACTCAAGTAAAAGTAACAAAGTACAGGCTTGTAAATGTACTTAAAGTATAAAAGTAAAAGTAGAAACCACTTTTTTCATGCTGTTGCCTACATTTTAAATGGATGTCTGCCAATAGGACTAGATCTCCGTTGTGTTCATTTTCAATCATCTCGTCGTCCATGCTACTATGCTAACGCCACCGCCACCAAGCTGCAATGATTTGCCGCCAATGAATACCGCCGAATCTGTCGATTCATCTTGTAGTGGTGCGTCAAATGCAACGTAGATTCCCATCCAGTTAGATTGAATTTGGTATTGATGACGTGAAAAATAATAACGGTAACTCCATTGAAATGATTCAAAACTAAAGTAACGAGCCAATTTTTTAAAATGTAAGGAGTAGAAAGTACAGATATTTGTGTAAAAATGTAAGGAGTAGAAGTAAAAAGTCGCCATAAAATTAGTAGTAAAGTAAAAATATCAGAAAAATCTACTTGAGTACAGTAACGAAGTATTTGTACTTCGTTACTTCCCATCTCTGTTTATTTCCTGATTTGGTCAGATCTTTGTCATAGTTCTGCGTATAAAAAACATATAATTAACTGGGTGTGTTACACATATCCAGTTTAAAAAGCAAACATTTCGTGTCCGTTTGACAAGGATCTTATTAAAGAATGATCGGCACTTTTTCACAGGGAATCAAATATTTATATGGAGAGGAGAAATTTCCAGGATCAAACGATCTTAAAAGTTTTTATATCTGCATATATTAGATAAATAACAGCAATGGAATAAAAGGGTTTAAATAAAAAAAATTAATGTCCTAATGTTAACAGAAATCTGTCTTTTTCAGTGTAACAGTGGACCATGATGTGGTTTTGGAAATTCCCAACGTTGACTATACACAACAATATGATGAAGGCGTTGACGACATAGTAGATGTCCTGGAAGAGATGGTATCGTGTGAAGAAGGTAATACTGAGAGTCTTTCTCAAAGAAATCACAAATCAAATGAATCTTCACTGCCTTATGTTTTCCTGTTGAGATCAAATATGGGTTTTCTTTCTCCTCTGACAGATTGTGAGCTTAGTGTTTCCAGCAGCGTTACCAGCAAAACTGAATTTAATGAGACAGGTAAGGGTTAAATTACTCTACAAACAAACTATTAATCCCTCAGAGTTATCACAGAATAAGAGTGTTTAGCTGATCGTAGAGGAATGTAGCCTAAATTCCCATCACTTGGAACGAGTCACATTCTGCAGCAAAGTAAATATTTAGGAAAGATTATTTTGGACACATAATGGATTTTGAATGATTATAAAATGTCTGTGAAAGTTATGAGCTGAAATAATATTGATCTGTGATTCTAATGACTCCTAGCCGCAGTCTTTCTGTCTGTGTGGACTTTGTGTTTCCGCCTAATGCTAAAATCTTGTGTCTTTGTTTCTTCAGCTGAATGTATGAAAAGAGTTAACGACGATGATCTAGCCCAATATTTCACTCCGACAACGTTAGGGAATGGATCCTTAGCTTGTCTAACCAGATGTAACCCAGAACACCCCACAGATCCTCTAAACTGCAAAAATGGGGGAAAGTGTACACTCTACAAAGACGTGGGAGAGGTCTGCAAGTACGTGGATTTACTTCTTTAACACTGGTTTCATTATTAAAGGTTTTTTATTCACTAGCTCACAATTAATAGTATTGTTTTTTTTATTTATATTCTAATCATCTTAGAAGACATTTTATCTTTTTTCATTTATCATTTTACAAATAATGTTTTAGTGCTGCAGAAATGAAGAATCTTAACTCACTAAGCTGTAGCTTATTGAGCATCAGAATAAACCGATTTATTTTCTCTCTCTACTTATCAGAATTGAAAATATATCTCAAAGAAATGAAAAAAAATGCTTTCTCATTTTTCTCTTTCTCTCTTCGGAGAGAAAGAGACCTGTGGTCCTTTGCCGCATGTCCCTCCCCCTCTCTCATTCCCCCTTTTCTGTCAGGCTACTGTCAGAAAAACGAGCCACTAGTGCCGTAAAAACTCAAAAAAAAAAAAAAAAACTGCTTCTCTGACGTCATCATGGGACATGTTCAGAACAGTCAGGCCACATTTATCTGCATTTTAGTTGTTTCTTTCTTTAGATTACGCACTATATAGCATGAGGTTAAAACGAAAACATTAAACTCAAAAAGACTAGATTTATGTTTAAAATCCAAAACCCAAAAAGTTAGCTCCTGGAAGTAGCGTAGCATCCCAATATTGTGCAAATCGGGAACAGAGTGATAAGACAGAAAGGATTTTAATGCATTTATTTTCTCAGGAAATACATTATCAAAGTCATAGGAAGTCATATTTAAATGTCAAATTATTCTGGCTTAAACATATATGTAAATGTTATCAGACCATATTGTCCCAAAAGTTAGAAAATGTGTATTAAAAAAAAAAATTCTGTCTTAAAATCTGTGTTTTTTTTCGTTATCTTCTGCAGGCCAGTTAGTTCTACGTCAGCCTGAACACCTAAATTCGGCCAATCATATATCAACGGTCATCTGTCAATCAAATGTTTTCGGTCATAGCATCTTGATTCATGTGTCGCAGCTAATATACGCAACGGTTGAAATCAGAATCCTTTCCTTTCCCATTGAGTTGCGTCCCAGTGTTCACGGGGATGGACGTCTGTGTCTTCGGCAGGCGTAGAGCTAACAGAACTGGCAGCGTTGCGAGGCAAGGGCTCAAACATGTACGGCTGGAAGCCTTCTACACCAAACCAAGCTTCTGCCGCCCTGGCGTCCTCTTCCACAACATCTTCGTCCCCGCTTTCCTCCTCTAAATAAAAAATGGATGACGGAGGAGACTCATCCACGACCTCCGACACTAAACTCTCCTCCTCTTGCATGTTTCCGCTGTCCATAGCGTTCCTTGACAGCGTCGTTTCTAAGTCACCAATTTAGTGCTACTTGGTCCCAATGGAATTTCCCATTGGGAACCTGCTAGCACTAAGTTGCTAACTGGTTAGCAAGACGCTGCCGACAAACCGGCCACAACCAAACGTGCTTGCGAACCTTCCACCACAACAATCCCGCCCCCTTGATAATCGACCAATCACATTCACTTTATTCACTCTTGTAAAGTTGGGCACCACTGGGAAAATTCAGAAATGAAACGGTTGGAACAGCCGCTTCCCTGCGACTTTAACCTTTAATACTTTAAAGTTTAGTACACTTACTAGGAAAAAAACGTAATTAAGGTCTTTTTTTACAAAATAAATGGAGGGAGACCTGGCTATAAATCTGGCTGCTTGAATAAGATGCTGGTACGGGTCGTGCTTCCGCGATGGATCGGGTAGTGACATGCAGAACTATAAATGATACATACAGACAGCATAGCATTTCCTGCCACCATCGTATTTGTTTTTTTTTTATATTTATCAATTTGTACATTTCAATAATTGCTTAACTTTTGAATGATTCACCCTTATGTTACTTCATTAGACTCCATTGTTTGTCTTAACTGGAATTTTTTTTTTCCCTCCCTAGTTGTACTTCAGTGGATAGCATCTGGTACCTGGGAAACAACTGTGACATGCCCATCCAAAAAATTCCTTTTTATGCAGGGTTGAGTGTAACCCTTGTCGTAATGTTGGCCGCCGTGGGAGGCCTGGTCGCTTACACTGTGGTCAACAAAAACAAACAATCAAAGTAAGTGGTCATGGGAATTTATTTGTTGAATAAAAACATGAAAACGCTAAAAACAAAGGAGGAAGACTGTTCATTGTTCCAGGGTGAAATGATGGCGCCAAATTTAGTCCTGAAACATTTCTTGCTCACCCTCTTTGCTTTACAAAAAGGTTTCTCGCCCCGAGATAACCTCAATTACCTTGGTTGATCGTTAGACCCAGAAATTGAAACAAAAACATAGATGTATTTTTTATTTTCGCAAGTTACATTAAACTTACTCAGATTCATGTTTTTTATCCAGGAACGGTGTTCTGTCAGATAAGCATACCCAGTCAGACCAGCATACCCATAGTCAATACCCATTTAGTTTATCCCTTTAGTTTTGTACAAAAAATACACTTTAAACTACCTCAACAGGTAGTCCTGTGCAAACAAACTATTTCATTTCGTACTTTTTGATGTGTATGGTGATCGCGCCCAGTGTTTCACCAATTCAGAGATTAGACCAAGCAATAACTAGGAACTTCTGAGGCAGGCCGGACGTAAAAAATCTCTAAAATAACATTTTTTTATATCTTTTTTGCAGAAAGAAAGACATGAAAGAAAAACTGGTGAACGAGTGGATGGATGACGACGTTGAGTGGTCCAGATCTACGAGCCCATCAGGAGCAGCTGGAGCCAGTAAGTTTCTAATTAATTTAACGACCCCCATCCATCTGAGTCATGGGTCCCAGATGTGTAATGATGTTGCTCACACCACACACTGACAAATAAAGGTAGCAGATAAAATGTCGTGTTTATTTATTTAAAGAGCAATTACTGTAAGATGAAATGTTTTAATTATAAATATCAGATGAGTAAAAGGGTTCCTGTAAACAAGTCTCACCAACGTTCAAACATCTTGGCTGTTGTCTTATATCTTGCTTCCATTTTTCCATAAATGTCCAAAAGATGCCATCAGGTTGCTGAGTCCATCAGTCCTGATTGCAGCAGAACTCCCCGATGGAATGATGCTAACACCTCCGTAATTTGCAGTTAGGATATCTTAGACTTCAAAGTTTCTCCATCTTCAACGTTCCAAAAAAGTAAAAAAAATAAAAAATCAAACCACTGGACTTTGTTTCTAAGTTTGAAGACGTTTCTCTTCCATCCAGGAAGATTTTTCAATTAAAAATGTCAGAAATAGCGTTTAGTTCCAGGTTTTTATAAAGTAGCCCAACAAAGCCTTAAAAGGCTTAGAAGACATGAACATTGAATCTGCAAAACCAGCTTCACCTCTTAAGAATACATTAGCAATACCCGATACCGGCCCATTCCTCTGGAAAGGCAGTCAGTAAGGGTCATTGTTGATCTGGCTGACCTGGCGAGATATTGTGTTGCCTTACATAGCGATGGAGGTTGAGATGGTATTGGGAAGGAATCAACTCTATTAAAACCAACCTTAAACCCCATGTTTAAGGTTGGTTTTTCTCTTTTAACATAAATGGCTTCCTTCACGCCCCTCTCAAGGAAATCTTTCAAGGAAATGTTTTACGAGAACAGGCAAGGCTAACATACCTAGAATGCCACAAAGAGAGACATATAGGAGACAATAGGTCAGAGTCTTCCAGTGATTTTCACACTGTTGTTTCCTTGAGGATTGAATTAAACTTTCTTTTGCAGAGAAAAACATGTACGAAGTCCATCAGACACATCCTTCCACGTATGACAGCCATCGCTCCACCGCATCAGTAGGCATGTTTATACCGCCACAGACCATGCAGAGAATGGGTTCCTCCTTTTCTAATGTGGCACATACCGAGCCGGGCGGTTCAACCTTCCCCACCATGATGAACAGAACCAATCTACCGGTTAGTAAAGACAAATATACATTTATGGAGATTTCTCTCTAAGAAACTGCTGGTTTTCTAACTTGTCCTTTTGTTTTCCTCCTAAGATGAGATCCCTCAGGCCAAACACCCGCGCATCCTATGACGCATAGGCACAGCACTCCTTGATGAAGAAACGGACATTTTTTCATGTTGTACCTTTTATTTGTCTCTGTACATATATTTAGCTGCTATATTGTAGATGTTTATTATATAATTTGTTTTGCTAGATTTCTCAGGTATTAGTTGTTGAAAATATGACATTTGAGTCATATCATATTTGATACCTAAAACATGTGCCCATAGCAAATTTTTCAACCTATTAGACATATTAAGGTAACATTTCCTGCCATTAGGAAGAAAGATCAGCCCATCAAACACAATTCTTTTAAGTCTGAATATTCCTTCATTTAGAAATTTAAAGGTGATAGCTACAAGTTTAACTCCTCCTGGCCAGGAGGGGGCGCCCTCAAACTCACCGGCTCTTGTTCCGTACTGTTTCACAGCCTGTTTCCAGGTCCACTAATGCTAGCCAACATTAGCATTAGCTATTGTTTTAACTAATAGCACTATTAGCTAGATTTTATCCTTAATCAACATTAGTAATTAACATTAGCTACTGCTTAACATTAACTTATAACAATAGCATTAGCAAAGATTGAACATAAGCAACACATCTTTGTTCATTCTGAGTTTCTTGCTAAATTGGCACCAAAGCTCCAAAGTTTGACCAATATTCTCTTTCATTTTGCTCTTTTTTTTCCACCATTGATTTACAAAAATATCTGTAAAAGAAAATATTTCTTGGCTCCATTATGAAGCTACTTGGATCTGGCAACCACTGGCTTCATAACCAGAAATAAATATATATTGTGAACTCAACAAAATGTATAAAACAATTATATTTCTTCCAGTTTCAATGCAGTAAACAGTTGAATGTAGTTTTTAATGATGCATGAAAGCTTAGCACAAATACAATCCACTTGATTCACAGATAGCACAGCTTAATCTACCTGATTTGAATAGAGCTGAAATAGATCAATTTGAATTCAACTTCTTTTCATCTTAATCCAGACGTACACAGTGCGTCCTGACCACATCATCATCATACAGGAAAAGGTTACAATACGTAGTTTAACGTAGGGAACAGGTTGCACTGAATCTTTACTTCAGTTTCACATACATGAGTTGGATAATGGGGCACATTATTCAAACTTTAAAGAGCTTTAAAAATACTCCATAATACACACAATTATTACCAGTTTTTTCTGCAGGATAGTGGTTAAAAAGCGTTGCCTCTACCTGGGTTTGGTCAGGGAATTCAATTGGTTGATTAGCACTTTAAAAAGCAACTAAAGAGGCTTTATTTGCACAATGAGCAGCAAGAGAAGAATTCACAGTTTTACTGTGAACATTTAGATTTGAAAATATAGTGAAGAATGTTTATTAACTTATTTAAGATCTATGCAACAAATATTTTTTTAAATGTACCATGGTTGTAATTTTTAGCCTTTGAAGAGCAAAATCTGAGGCAAAATGAAGAATAAAATTGTTGTGCTTATGCACATGCTGTCTGAGCTTTTCAATGCTTATCGTCTTGCTTCATTTTGATGCTAACTATAATCACATGGAGATCAGAGTTTACTCCAAGGCCGACAATGCTAATGTTAGCTTAAAAAAATGGTGAGTTCATATAGGACAAAAAATTAATCTGACACACCAAGGGATTTTCACCTGTAGACCACAAAGCATTTAAAATATCTTTTAAATATTTTTTTTATCAGATTGTGATAGCAAAGAATGCTGAGTTATTTTATTTCATGCTAAATCTTGGACCCAAGCTTCTGCATTGAACAGAATTATATAAGGCTGTTTCTGTGTTAGGGCTATAGAGCCAGCCTGGGTTCGTGTGGTGCAGACATAGATAGAAATCAGATGCGCCTTCTGCAGCTTCTAAACGCAGGCCTGTGTCTCTCCACTGTGCTTCACTGGTCTTTAACAATGACAAATGATGTACCCATGATAAGCGGTACATTCCTTACATCTGTGTAGAAAGCATAACAGTAACTGCCGCTAAGAACCCCCATCTGTGTACATAATTTGTGTAGCCATTATAGTAATGTCTTGTTTCAGAAACTGTTTTGCACAAATTCAAAGTGTTCTACTGTTCAACTAACAGACTTTCATCCTGTGGATCTGACAATGTGCTTCTAGCATAGTGAATATAGACACAAGAAGATTTTGTTGAAACGCTATTTACAT